AAATATTGTTTTCAAATATATTTACTGTGAAATATTTCTTTCATCAAGGTGTCAACAATGGGTGGTGAGGTTGCTTGAGGACCCAGATGCAGAGACGAGTGAAGCAGAGATGAGTTCTGAGAGGTTTAATTGAAGACCAAAGGTAGCAGAGGCAGAAATCCAAAAATCCAACTTAAAATATTAAACAAACCAAAACCATGGAGACATCAGGGGGAAAAAACGAGTCTGAGGAGCCGGGAAGAGACGAGCAGAGTAGACAATACAGCAACGAGAAGGAACCAGCACTGAGTGACTGCAGAGGTGGAGTATTTAAGGAGAACCAAACAAAAGGATGGACTAACGAGCTGAATGAGGAGCAGGTGTGGGTGGAACTGGCAAGAGGGAATCCAAGGGGAAAGAAAACAATCACAAGGGGGCAACAAAGAGTAACTAAAGAATGCTAGAATATTATGGAAAATAAAAACAAAACAACTGATAACAGAAAACTCAGAGTCACAACAAATGAGAACCGTAACACAAGGCACTTTATGACATTTACATGTTTCATTTTAAGAAAAACTCTGACACATAAAACAAAGAGGCATACTGACATCTATAGTAAAAAAGATAAGGATAATAAAAACATAATAAACAATAACATTAACACAACAATGAAAGTACTGAACATAGAAAACAACAATATCCCGCTTTAATTAAGTATCAAATTAACAGTATTAAATTAACAAAGTACAGTATTAAATAACAAAAGAAATGTATGAGTAATGATGAATAATAAGTATTTAGGTTTGTAATGCACAGAAGGAACATGTTTATGCATTTTTTTTTATTAGTTTTGCTTTAATCATGTTTTACTTAAATTAAATCATCAAATAAAATTACAGAAATATTAAATAAAGGAGATGATGAAAAGGGAAATTAAATTTCATTTTTCTGTTGCATGCATAAGAAATTCATGTTTAAAACTGTCAGCTGATAAAAGGAAATTACCCTCTAGATATCACTGATATTTACTATAAAGAAGAAAAACAAGGAAACACAGACAGTAAAAACTATAACATATTCATTTTATATGATAACGACCGTTGTCAGTCTGTAATGCAGACCAGCTCAGTGATCAAAATCTTTTTAGCAGCTGTTTATAGAAAAACAACACAGTAGTCAAAGGTAATTTTCCTTTATTTTAAAGCATTACAACCAAATGTCCTCAGAAAGAGTTTCTGCACAGCTGCTACTGTGTGAGTGACACCTGGCGGAGGTGACAAGAATTACAGCTTGAATTTCCATACATTTCAGTTTTCAATTATGGCAGACAGGTATTGTGTATTTTCTGCTCTGCTTTTGTCTTGAAAGACAGACTAATTTAATGACATTTAATGAGATAAATACAGAAGCAAACACAGATGCAGAAGAATGTATGAAATTCACCATAAAAAGCCTTCCCTTATTGGATGAATTGAGTTTAAACTTATTGGATAAGAAGAGCATGGGCAGCCATGGTTAATTTGAGAAAACACTGTTTTAGATGGTGTATCAAATGCCATACAACAAAATAAAAAGCTATTTAGTCAGGACACAGAACCCCACTGGGCATTAAAAAAAAAAGCTTTCAACAACCACAAAAATGTTGGGATTTTTCCCGGCTTTCAGTCGGTGTTAAAATACTGCAATTTAATGGGATTTGGCAGTATTTCATACCATTGGGACTTTTTAAAACCTAATTTTATTAAAGTGGTGCTTTTCTGCATGTTTGCCTTTCCATAATTTAATTCTGACATCACCGGCTGACAAACCATACAGTATAAACTGATGTCCTATAGCGCTGGCTAGATGTGCATAGCATTATTTTTGCAATTTACTGCACTTTTTTTTTTATTCTGCTTTGTGTCTAAAGTTGCCTGCTAGCTGCTCTCTGTTAAAAGACTAATGAATGAATCACTCTTCTCATGTTAATAAGGTTATCTGGGGTAGTGGTTATTTTTTTAGGGAGGGACAAGATATTAAATGATTTTAATATATATAATGGGAAACCAAAGCAAACTATGAGAGCAAACTCCAGATTAAAGATTAATAGAAATATTGAATATAATAAAACTGGATTTCCCAATCTATATTTAAAATAGGTTTTGTGTCAATTACTCACATTGTCTAAAAGCATTTGGGCGAAAATCATACATTTTAAAAAGGAAATTATCAAAGAATACAGAGAAATACCTTTCACTCTTTCCCTCTGTATTTCCTCTGTCTGTTGTGAAGATGGGGGAGGAAGATCCAACCGCTGTATCGCAATACCACTTTCTCTGAAATTCTCTAATCACTATGTTGTGTTTTACACTAACTGTGTTTTAATTGGATTTACTATTTACACATTTTATGATTTCACAAAGCTTTTAGCATCACTTTTTGACCGAATGCATAGTAAAAGTGGTGGCCCTTCTGACTTCCTGGTGTACTTCTGGTAGCCCCCCTGGAACCGACGCTGACAGACTCACATTGATGTGACAACCTGAATGAGCTGCACTACCTAAGCCACTTGTGTAGGTTGTAGAGTCCTTCTTATGCTACCACGAGTATTAAAGCACCACCAACATTCAAAAATGACCAAAACATCAGCCAGAAAGCATAGTTACTGAGAAGTGGTCTGTGGTTGCCATCTTCAGAACCACTCCTTTTTTAAGTGTCTTGCTAATTGCTAATAACTTCCAACTGCTGTCAAGGAGAGAAGTGGATGAATTTCCACCCCCGATTAGGGGTGTGTAAAAAAAAAAATCGCTTTGGATATATATCGTAATTTTTGGCTGCCTGATATAGTATTGATGTTTTAGTTCCTAGTATTGATTTCTTTAAAACAAAACATTTTAATTTAAAACAATGAGGGAAAATGGGCTACCTTTGTACTGCCAATTGGGCAGATAGCGCTGTGGAGCCCTTTTACTGTGCGATGCAGTGTTATATCTGTAGTTTGAGGCGGTCACAGTGAAAGACTGACTCGAACCCTAAGCAACATCAAAACCAAAATAACTAAATACTCAATATCATCAGATGAACATATACAGAGGCTTTACATTCAATTTTTTATAGCAGGAAAAATATCACAATATATGGTGACATTGCAATACTGTGATATATTGTATCATGACCCATCGTGACGTATCTTATCGCAACGCCCATGCCAATACTTACCCCTACCCAGTAGTCTTGTTATAAAAAAATAAGGGGGATAGTGGAAGTTCTTTTGGAGGCATACATAGCCTAATAAATATGGTCTATTAACATAAAGCTATGGTATGGTTGTTCCGTGTCTGGTCAGTGACCTTGACCAAGGTACTTTCAGTAGAACTGCAGTCAGTCCCTGGACTGGCATGGCCCCCCCCATCCCCCTTAACTCAATTACTGCCCCTACCCTGATCCGCATAAAATTTACTAACCACCTGATGGAGCTAGACCCTGCCTTATACAAACAGAACTTCTATGAAACAGCAACACTCTCTGAGCACAGAACATAACGCCACAATTAAAGAAATAAGATCTGTTTCTCCAAAATAATAACATAAAAATATGAGAAATTAAAAACAACCCATTGGACTTTGTTTCCAAGTTTGAAGATGTTTATCTTTCCATCCAAGAAGGTTTTTCAATTTAAAATTTCAGGAATAAGGATTAGTTCGAGGTTTTATACAGTAGCCCAACAAAGCCTTGTTTTTGTTTTGAAAACTGCAAATTGAAACGGACGAAGGGGTCCGGCCCTTTGGAATGGGGGTCGTTTGATTTTTTTGTTAACCTGCAATGCGCCATACCGGTCTATGTAATAATTAGAATGCTTTATTTAGTCTTTTATTTTGATATAGCGTGATATATAGTGCAGCACTACTACTATTAATGTCAGGTTTGAATTTGAATTTATTTTGAATATACATATTTGAGTAAACTTGTGCTTTGGTGACAGTTTAAAACTGTAATGTCTATAAAGCTTATTTGACATATTGGACCCATGGATTTGAACATGTTTCAAATTTTATTGAACACACACACACACACACACACACATTTTTTTTGTACGGAAGAGGATTAGGGCCAATGGAAAAAAAAAGTTAACTGATTTTTAAATATTATTTCAGTTAAATATGGGGAAAAAGTCAGAATTCTGACTTTAATCTCAGCATTCTGACTTTTTCTCTGAATTCTACTTTTTAATCTCAGAATTCTGACTGAATTCTCACAGCAAACAAACATGTTAGCTTCAAGCCGTAGCCATATCTGTTTTAGAGACTAAACTAGCTCTCTTGTTTTAATCACCTTCTGCTCTTCCATTAATGAAATAGCATCACAGTGGACCCCTGGGGCACGTAAAAAGTCGCCTAATTCCATCATTTGCCTACAATGTGTTACTGGCCCTCCCAAAAAACTCACATCTTTGTCAGTGAAGCTGAGTGCTCCCACATCTCTACCTTCATGGTGCCCATATACATTAAGATCCAAAATTCTGAGATTAAAGTCAGAATTCTGAGAAAAAAAGTCAGAATTCTGAGATTAAAGTCAGAATTCTGAGAAAAAAGTCATAATTCTAAGAAAAAAGTCAGAATTCTGAGAAAAAAAGTCAGAATTCAGAGATTAAAGTCAGAATTCTGAGAAAAAAGTCAGAATTCTGAAATTAAAGTCAGCATTCTAAGATTAAAGCCAGAATTTTGAGATTAAAGTCAGAATTCTGAGATGAGAGTGAGAATTCTAAAATTAAAGTCAGTATTCTAACTTATTTCCTATATTAAACTGAAATACATTTTAAAAATCAGTTTTTTTCTTTTTTCAGTGGCCCTAATCCTGTATGTTTGCAATATAGAAATAATATTTTTGCTTGGGGTGGCAGCACTGCTCCTCCACTGGGCCATTTAGCACACATTGTACCAGATTTAACGGGATCGGTTGGGTTTGGGTCGCTGTGAATCCATGCAGCTGTGAGCAGCAGCGTCGCTGTGACTCAGTCAAGCTGTGTGGGAGGAGTTAAAGCAAGATGGCCGCGGGAGAGGGAAGACTGTTTGAGAAATCATCAAATGGGATGTTTATCTGCCGTTAACAGGATGCACTGCTGCCCCAGAGAAGGAGTGGTTAGTCTATTAGCATCGCCGGGTCAGTGTGGAGCGGTTCACCGCTGCTCTCTGCGCTGTGTTCCGGTCCGTCTGCCGGTTTTTGCCCTGACATTGTGGAATTCATCAACAGCTAGGCGTTAGCTGGAAGCTAGCAGGTTGCTATCCAAGGAAACCTTCTCCTCCCAACAACTGCTGGGATTTCTGTATAGAAAAACAAGGTGTGTATTATTGACCTGATTTACATTAGGCTATTTTTTTTATCTTAATACTTTCATAGCCACGTGTATTTATTATTTTATGGTTGTTGTGTATATGTATATAAATACGTTATCCTTACATGTAAACAACGTTACTACATCATTTCGAAATTGAATTACATTGATTGTTTTCCTATTAATGTGAAATGAAGCACCTCTACCTCCTGATAAAATTGATTATTATACTAGACATTAACAAAATATATATATTTAATAAAAAAAAAAAATCTGTGTTGAGTTGCTGTCATAGGCAGTGACTGACATGAACATATGACCTGAAGGCATTAGGACTGTGAACTCCTGCCTCCTTGGTTTAATTGCTGATCCTGAAACTCAGACACACACATTCCTCTGGTTGTTATCTCTAAACTCTGAAGCTAAACAGTAACCCTTCAATAATCTGCGTTCTCACCTGACAATCCCATGTTGAATCAAAGCAAATTGGAGTTTCTATGACTTTTGTTTTGCATTTCCCATTATTTCACCAAATATGCCGCAGTTGTATAGGGAAGAATAAAAGCATATAATCAGAATTCATTAGTATCTGGATGTAAACTCAAGGTTTGTAATTTAAATTGAAATCATTAGCTGGTTGTCTTGCTTTCTTTTGGCCTATATTAATGTTTTAAACCCAAAGGTGAACCTGTGTTGCCCAGAAAGGTATTATACTTTAGATTTGAGCTGTTTTAACCCCCATTTCACAGCCGCCTCTATAACCCATGAACCTATTACTGGTTATATAATTGCTTAAAATGCTATCAGGTTCTGAGATTAAAGTCAGAATTCTGACTTTTCCCCATGTTATTGGTTAGATAACTGTTTAAAATGCTATCAGTTTTCCTTTTAAATGTTTCATACTCAACTTTTGATTTTTATCTGCTTCTAAGATGAAATTGTGCTAATGTTTTGCATCTTTAGAAAATTAATATGTAAAAAAAACATTTCCCACAAGTTTGTGTTTAAAGTGAAGTAGACATAAAAAAAAAAACACAACCAAATGCAGTAAAGATTATTACAGGTATTATTATATTATATGCCCAGTAATGATGTATGTTCCATGTGATGGTTTTAAAACAATAACTTTATAAAACCTTAAAAGCCTAATTTCTTGCTACATGTATTAAGACGAACTGACTTACAGATGCACTTGTCTTTCACTTGATTCAATTAATATCAAGACTGTCTTTTTGTGCAGTAAAAGCGAAACTTATTGACTCATTTTTGCTCACAAGTATTCTTTAAAATCAGATTTGGAAGATTGCTTTTGCCTTTTATTGATGATAACACCAAATAGGTATTTGCTATTAAATTGGACCCTGTTGCAGGACATGCGTGATTGCATTTAGTTGATATATTTGCTCAAGTATACTCAGGAGAAAATTAAGTAAAGAAATAGATCTGAAAGCATTAATTGTTAGCAATAGATTTTTGAAATAATTCAATTTATTAATTAATTCTTCCTTAACTGGAGTATAGAGACTCTAAAACATGCCTTTAACTGAGAAATTGTGAAGAAATATATACATTTTTATCATTAAAGATAAAAAGAATGTTTTCGTTTGTCAATATTTTCTATCCAGAACTTCACAGGAGGAAAAGTTTTAGTTTAATCTTGTTTAATTCTGTAAAAAAAAATGTAAATAAACTTTTACTATCCGATTATTAATCAAGAAAAATAATGGACAGATTAATCGGTTAGCAAAATAATCCTTAGTTGCAGCCCTATCATGAATCAGATGTTATTTATAACTTGGTGAATTTATTAAGAAAGGTGACTCTTTAGTTGCATTCTTCTTGCCTCCCCTCTGTAACTGTCACAGCAGGATCTGATTCGTCAGTAAAAAGAAAAATGGAGAAAGGTTAAAAGATACAAAAGGACAAGAATGTGATTAAAAGACTAACTTGTTAGGATTCGGCTTATCCAGTGCATGAAATCACAGAAATTCCTGAAAATTGCTTTAAGTGTATCCTGAGTTTGACTTTAAGGCAATTCTCTATGATTAAAATAACAGATTGTTCCACAAATAACCGTTCAACAGATTGTTGAACGGTGTGCTGTCTGAAAAACATTGAAATCAGGTCTTTAGGACACGCCACCCCCCCTTCAATGGAAACTGTAGCTGCACTTTGAACTCGTTTTTATAAGTTGTTTTATGATGCTTTGTGTGTGAGCGACCTGAAAGTAAAAGACTGAAGACCTGAATTTCCGCATTCAGAGTATATTCTTGGAAGGGCTTCAAATGTCCCGACCTGCTTGGATAAATATTTAGGGCAACTCTTTGCCAAAACAGTATTGCTTTAATCTTTTGTTTCGATTCACATCTTCAGAGTGCTCTGCATGAGCTCATAAGTTGGAACTTATTAAAATAAGGAGTGGTTAATCATTAAAAGAAAAAAAAAGATTGCAAATACTTCCCTGGCTGTCTTTCAGATCTATTTGTGTGTAGCTGCTGTTGGAAAAGTAAATAAACTCTGGATGAAATCCTAACTCATGTCTGACCCCAAGTAGAAATCATGAGTCATTTATCCACATCATGTTGTAATTTGCCATAAGAAATATTGCAAAACTATTTTAGTGTTTACTTTTCTCACTGTAACAATGAACACGTTAGCCTGTTATAACCCTGCTTGCCTCATCAGGGAGGTTCCTGATCTGCTGATTCAAGCCCAACCAAAGGAATAGGTTCCTTTAAAAGTAACACGTGGATCCAGTTATGATGCTTTGTTGGCATAAATTCTCAGTTCCAAAAAAATGTAATACAGCGTTTTAACTTTTCGTAATGTTGGATTTAACAAACACAAACATTTAAATACGAAGTCAAAAGAAAAGATTGAAGAATATTTAACTGATTAAAAAAAAAAAAAAATCTTAAAAGTGTTCAGTGTATTTCTCTTCTGCCCCTTTTGTTACGATTTTGTTATATGCTGGTAGCCTGATAAACCAGACTAAATGTGAGATTAAATGTGTAATTTAGTCCGGCCCCGATGAATGAGACATCGGAAGATTGTTGATGAGAACAACTCATTGTTTTTAAAACCATATCTGTGCCTATTGGCCAACGCTATGACCAATGAGTGCAACTGACTGTGACGTAGTAAGCATGATAGAAAGCTGGTGGGTTAAACAAACAGCCTGTCGGTAAAACGGCGAATACGTATTTCTTAAATATGAGTAAGCGTAGAGCCTCTTCCTGCTCATGTTTCAACGAAAACCCCAAGTCTAATCCTTCCTAAACTGATTCCAAAGCTGAGTCAAAAATCACTATCAGAGCCAGCGGTCCTTCACGCATGGCTATGCCAAAAGAGGACCGCTGCAGACGCGCTGCGGTTGGCCCTGGCTGCCGTTAGCCTCGGAGGTCCGCTGGTTGCCGCGGTCCTCTCAACTTCGGAAATAGTTTTTTTTTAATTATGCATTAATTCGGTATATGGACCAGATAGGTACGCTTTAAAGTATAATGTTCTCACCTCAAATGATCTTAAAACGTACTTTGATTGAACAACAGCAACAGAACAGAGAAGTTTTAACTTTCAATGGAGCGCTCCATTGAAAGCTGCTGCTGCCGCAGTGCATGCTACTGTTCAATAGTTGTTGCCATCTTCCTTGTTGTGCTTTCTCCAGCTTCGCGCAGCTTTGTCGTCGCCCTCAAAACCCCGCTCGCTTTACATCCAAAAATTCAAAACACATCTCTGCTTTGTGATTGGCCTGCCAGTTCTAGGGTCTGGGGCATTGATAGAGGCTAGGCCAAACTCGCAGGCTAAAATGATTTTGACTGCTGGCAGGTGGGGCTAGTTTACTAGGCTAATATGTTGATGCATTTTATTCCAGGTGTAAACACTTGTGTTTTGTGAAAGAGCTTCTGCTTTGCTTCATGGAAACCACACAACACATCAGATAGTAGATGGTTTAATGCAGGGTTGAATGACGAAACTGTAGCTTTAGTTCAGAATAACTTCACAGGGGGCTTTTTAACCTCTCCAAACCCACCGATTTAAAGCGTTTACAACTAATAACTCAATGCATGAAAATTACACCGGTAAAATGTTTACCAATATAGACATGTTAGACATCTTAGAAAAGCTTAGATTCTCCCCAATTCAACCACCAAGTTAATGTTATGGACACAGTGAGCACCAAAGCACAATTAACACAGATATAGCAGCATGTCAAAATGCAAACATGAAAAAGCATGTCTTTACTACTGCTGTTCAAAAATTACCTATTATTTTTGAGAATAAAAAAAAAAATTTGAGTCATGTTTGAACTGATGCAGCCTGGGCTGTGTTTTACTCACCCAATTTTTAATATATTCAGAAACTAGAAGGTGTTAGCTTTCCAATAATGTATCACAAATGTAATTTGGGCTTACAGTTTCTCAGTTATTTGCTTTTCCATTTGGATATGCAAAATAGGCGAGAATGAGGTGGATGTTGAGAGGTTAAATTTTATTTTGAACATTAAGAAAGTATCACACCACGCTGAACCTACCAAAACATGATGGTCATCAATTAACACTGTCACGCAAGAGGAGCATTTAACTGATTAATACTCAATAAGGGCGTGAGATTTTTATGCACTCAAAAAAAGTTGATGGACGTTTCGAAGAAAGCCAACCCATCTTACCAGGGACGACATGTTGTGGCTACAGCATCACTCTCTGAGGCTGCTGCTCTTTACTAGGGACAGGGAAGCTGATTAGTGTTGATGGAGAAGGAAAACCTAAAAGAGACAGAAGTTAAGGTTCTAGGTCTAGAACGGGTGTCGGCAACTCGCGGCTCCGGAGCCGTTTGCGGCTCTTTAGCGTCCCCCTCGCGGCTCCCTGGAGCTTTTTCAAAAATGTATGAAAATCAATTTTTTTGTTGTTGTTGCTTTAATATGGTGTGCAGTAGGTCAAACAAAAATTATTTATGTTTTCCAATGCTGTAAACATTTGCATAATAAATACATTTAAACAATAATTTGCATCATAGTCATATAGATCAGTGGTCATAACTTGCGACCGGTGCGGCGCCAGGCAAACAAAGCGGTGGGTGTGTCTCAGACCATGGATCCCAAAGGGAAAAAAGGAAGATGGCTGATGAGAAAAGAGGATTCAAGGATTGGACGGATTCTTTTGTTTTCTTTTTCATTGGGGAGGGTTTGCTTGCTTTTTTGTTTTTTATTCGGGGTTTTTCAAAAAATAAAAAGACAAATTTGGAAAGGCATTTCCAGGAAAGGCAATCTAAATATGCAGCCGACCACCAAGTTGGGAGTGAGAGAAAAAGTGCGATTGCAGAACTTCTGGATAAATTAGAGGAGAGCACAGATAGATTTAAGAGGTGGATTGCATCTCCAAACTGCACTACTGCTGCTAGTTTGGTTGCAAGGATGGAAAACCGTCCACAGATCAAACAGGTAGCGCTCTGATGCAGGAATTGGAACTTTCTTCCATTTTTTCCCCCAAATCCTAAAAGTATATTAATATATATAGATTTCGGGGTTAGAGAACACTGCTCTGATGGATGTCAGTTCCTGCTTGGTTCCTCATGACTCAATCAACTCCTCCCAACACAAACAACAAACTTAAACGGCATGGTGAAGGGCGGTGAAGCGGCGCGCAGTGAGAGCGTTCACTGCTCCTACCTCACCTCATGCTGCTATGTGACATTTGCTCCAGGATAAACATTTAATCATGAATGCTTATTATATATTTAAGCCCACATAGTCCTTTTCTATAGTGGGATAATACACTTAGAGCCTGTGTGGCCATACGAGGCATATATAAGACTTTTACTTTTCTGCGGCTCCAGACAGATCTATTTTTTGGTCCAATATGGCTCTTTGAGCGGGTTTGGGTTGCCGACCCCTGGCCTAGAACATGACAACCTTAAATATACAGCCAGAGCCTCAGCGGAAACCTATAGATCTGTGCATTTATGGCCCAGTCAAAGTCCAGGACTAAAGCCAGTTAGTTTCAAGACTTTGAAACTGCTACTCCAGATGTGCTCCATCCAGTCTGTCTGAGCTGATGAGTCAGATTGGATGGTCATGTCGGTTAAAGCAAAGCAGGCAGAGACAGAGCCCTAAGCTGCTGCTATTACAGCAACAGGTTGTTACAAAGGCGTTTTTAAAGAACAGTGACTCACTTGGGTTGGCTAAAAACACACAACACAAATATTTCCTTAAAAAAGGAAAATCCTGCAGCTTTTCCTGCCACTTTGTCATCCATTTCTTTGAGTTTTCTCCTCTTCGTGTTCTTGTTTTTCTTTTTAAAACTTCCTCTTTACTTTAGTAGATGTTTTTTGTTGTAATAATAAAGTTTGAGCTGCTAATCTATGTGTTTGGCTGATGGGCAGAAAAGAAAACCCATCCATCCTCTTATTCTCATCTTTTACAAGTGAACAGGGTAATAAAAGAACCGTAGAAGGTCTCATTGACTGCATCTTGGAAAAAAAAAACATGTAGGTTAGGCTTCATTTCTTTCCAGAAAACGGACATTTTTTGTGCTTTTTTTTATCCAGTGAAGACTGTTATGCAAATTTAGAGTTTTTACTTAACACGTTACTGATAAGAAAATTGTGGTTAAAATTTGCGTGAGATGAAGTGTTCCTTCTCTGTTGCTACTTCCTTTACATTTTATCATGAAACATGAAACTCAAATTGAGAGCGGACCTTTTTACATGTTTCAACTTTCAGTAAAGAAATTTGAGAGATAATTTTATAGTTACAGACTTTCACAGTTAATTTTTTCTTTTTAAACATCAAATTAGTGAAACACTTATATGAATTAATAAAGAAAAGATATAATGGTAACAGGCTGATATTCCTGTAGTAAACATAAAGGAGGTCTTGGTGTAGTTTTCTCTTTTAGAGGACTCTTGTAAACTGTTAACTGAAGAGGCTTATAAAAAAAAATATAAAGAAGAAATATAGAAATGTATCTTTCTTGGTTCATCTTATTTTATCTATATCTAATGCTGCTTGTTTTTACAGATGCACAGTGTGTGTGGATAATATTTGATGTGCATGTAGAGATGTGCTTGTTTGAAAAAATCTATTCAGTCATTCTTGTTAAACTGATTCTTTGTACATCATCAGAGTTTGTTTTGATGATATAGAAAAAGATAACCAGTAAGTGTTTGTTTGTTTGTCTTCCCAGGGTGGCGAACCCGTCCTGATTGGCAATGGAGTGGTCTTGGCTTCAGACTGGATGACAGGGTCCAGAGGGAGGACAGGATAGCAAAGTTTCTGAATCAGCAACTTGCTTCGCTGATCAGTAGTGGCAGCTCGTTCCAGGATCGTCCTTTTTTTCTCCGATTGGAATCGCCTCCGCCTCCCTCATCTTTTCCCCCTCCTGCACCCTCTCCTTCTGTCCCGGTCCCTTTTTCTCTGTACTCGGACTTTCTCTTTTTCTTCTCCCCCTTGTATTTGAGTCTGTGAGACCTTTCACCTGCCTCCTGCCGGGTTCGGAATGAGTTGGCTTAGCAGGTTGAACCCACGGTCCGGCCGCAGCGCCGTCACCTCCGCTGCCCCCTCCAGCCCGTGCACTGCTGACCCAGAGACCTGCCTCATGGTGTTTGAGAACCACTGGAGACAGGTGCGCTAAAGAATATACTTACTTTGTGAACCTTTTATTCAATACCCTCAACCTGTTTTTGTTTTTTTCTATTGTCTTATTTACTTTGATGCGAGCATTTTTTGAAATGCACATGTTGATGTCCAATGTTTGCAATTTATTGTCAATGTTTAGATATGAATTTCAAGATTATATAAAGATGAACATTACTGTTTTTTTGTGAGTGTTTAAGTCGTAGGGAAATCCTATTTAAATGTCAAAATATTCTGGCTTAAACATGTATATAAAGGCACTCTATAACAACCGTCTGTCAATCAAATTTTTTTGGTCATAGCATCTTGATTCATATGTCACAGCTGATATACGCAACGGTCGCAATAAGAAATAATAATCATTAACTTTACCATTGAGCTCCGTCCCACTGTTCACGGGGATGGACGTCTGTGTCTGCAGCAGGCGTAGAGCTAACAGAACTGGCAGCGTTGCGAGGCAAGGGCTCAAACATGTAGGGCTGGAAGCCTTCTACACCAAACCAAGTCCTCTTCCACAATATCTTCCTCCCCGCTTTCCTCTTCTAAATAAGTAATTTATGATGGCGGACACTCATCCACCACTTCCTCTTGCTCATTTCCGCTGTCCATAGCGTTCCTTGATGGTGTCGTTTCTAAGTCACGAATTTAGTGCTACTTGGTCCCAATGGAATTTCCCATTGGGACCAAGTAGCACTAAGTTGCTAACTGGTTAGCAAGATGCTTCAGAGACACCGGCCACAAACTTGCTTGTGAACCTTCCGGCACACCAATCCTGCCCTCTTGATAATCGACCAATCACGTTCACTTTATGCACTCCTCTAAAGTCATGCACCACTCGGGAGAATTCGGAATTGTAACCGTTGGAACAGCAGTTTCCCTGCGACTTTAAGAAAATAATTGAAAGCTATAAAAAGAAATCAGGTTTTACAGTCAATTTGTCTGCTCCATAAGCACAAGTATGTGGGACTATATAGACTTGTATATATACCTGTCATTTCTTGCTTATTGTACATCAGGCTTTTAGCTCGGTACATTTCATAGGGTGTACACCTTGGTGTATCACATCTTAGGCTTTGCTTGGCGTAGGGGGGTCCAGGGAAATGTAGACTCTGAAACGCTATTTCCTGCTTATTGAGGTGGAATGCTGCTAGCTAACTTTTTTGTATTTGTTCCAACATTACTTTTGTCCTGATTATGGGAAGTATGTGTGCTTGATTAGAGATGGAAATTTCATAAGGAAGACATGAGATCATTTTTAGGTACAATATTATGATTCATAGGTCAATTTCAACAATCAGAAAGTGTAAA